AGCATCAGAGTCATTCTTGACAAATTCCGTGAACGTCTGTTGTGCAGTCTGGAAAAAAACAAGGATCTCCTCAATGGCCTTCCAATTGATCAGGTAAGTGCATCCATTCTATATCAGACACAGAGCACCATACACGGTGGTAAGAAAGATTGACCATCTGGAAATATAGACTACATTTTAAATGTATCAGAAACGCTTGATACATGTTTACATACAGATGTGCCATTCACATCTATACATTTGTATCAAAATGCCTGAATGAAGAAATGTAGGTACCCAGAAATTATTCCTTCCACTTTCTAATGTTGAACTGGCAAAATGAAAGAGAGAATCGGTTTTGGCATGCCCATCTGACAAGAGAATAAAAAGGTCTCTTTTGAATGAAGTCATTATTTTTTTATGCTGTCCTTTCAGAGTGCCCATCATGCTATGCAGACGGCAATCTTAAAGTGGTTCTACAGCCAAAGGGGATTTGATCCTAATGCATTACCTGCATTAAGGTAAAATACCTTCCACTAGTCATTCCCCCACCTACCTCCCTAAATACTTACCCGACTCCTGTATTGATCTAGCACTTTGCCCGCCTGCAGCAACGCTGGTTCCCTCTCCCCGCTCTCACAGGCTCAGACAGACACTTTAGTGAAAACCTCTTCTAAGAAACCTATGTAGCAGTACTGTACATTAACATCTCTTACTATAGTTTCAGTAGAGGGAGTGTCAGAAACTTGAAAAGAGATTATTATTATAATACAGGATTTATATAGCACCAACAGTCTGCTCAGCGCTTTACAATATAATGGGAGACAATACAGCAACAATACAGTTCAATACAAGAGGGATAGGAGGGCCCTGCTCCTTGGAGCTTACAATCTAAGAGATCACTGCTTCCCCACAAGGAGCAAGGATCATACTCTGCATGCTGGCAGGGGACAGGATTTACTATTTAGTAGAATTAAACTGAAGGTTCATTTGGGTTTTACATACTAGAACTGCCAGGGGATGCATGGCAGCAATAATTCTAAGGCTAGGTTCACACCTATGCAATTTGCGTTTCATCCATTTCTGCACTTGCATATTTGCCACGTTTTGCGTTTTTTAAAAATTTTTTATTTTTTTGTTGCTAGGCAGATTTAAAATGGAAAAACACATCAACAACACTGCAAAATGCATCAGAAACGCAGCAAAAAGACACTACATGCTTTTCTACAGCATTTCCATTGAAGTCTATAGAACCAAAAACGCTAATTTTTGCGTTCAAAAAAGCCCCTGATTATTATTTATACAGTATTTATAAAGCGCCAATAGTTCGCTCAGCGCTGTACATTACAAAGGGGGACAGAACATGTGACAGAACAATACCAATACAATGCAAAACATGAGTGGATTGAGGGCCCTGCTCTTTCGAGCTTACAATCTAGGAGGGAGGGGGATGGTGGCACAGGAGGAGATAGCTGTGGGGGATGGAGTGGTAGGAAGAGTGGAGGAGGTCGGCAAGTTAGCAGGGGGTGGGGTAGGCTTCCCTGAAGAGATGGGTTTTCAGGGTGCGCCTAAAGGAGAGGAGAGTAGGTGATAATCTGATAGGTTGGGGCAGGGAGTTCCAGATGATGGGTGACACCCTGGAGAAGTCCTGGAGGCGGGCATGGGAGGAGGAGACCAGGGAACTAGAGAGGAGGTCTTGTGAGGAGCGGATTCTTTTTAAAAAAAGCACCGGGTAAAAATGCGGAGATGTGAATGTGTCCCATAGGAAATCATGTTAAATGGACTGCAGTGCGTTTCTGCAAAACGCTTAGGTGTGAACCTAGAGTAAAAGCGGATTCGCACATGTTGTGCGGTGTGGATTGAAGCTCAGGTTTCACAGCTAATTGACACAATAGTTGTTCACTGGATCATGTCAGGTTTGCATCAGGTTCAGGACAGGATTAGCTCTCAGGATTTTATCCTGTTCACACATATGCGGTTGAGAAATTGTTCCCATAGAAGTCAATAGCCTTTAATTCGCACCTGAACCGGACTGCGCTGCTGGGAAATCGGACATGACTCTTTTTCAAACCGCAATGACTATGCACTGCTAGTTTACAGACATATGTGAACAGACACTGTAAAAAGCAACATTTTTTCACATGTCATGCAGACTGGATGCAGTTCAAACCGCATCCAATCTACATATATGTGAACCAGCACTTAAGCACATTTTCTTTTAACCACTTCAATACCGGGCACTTCTATCCCCTTCTTGCCCAGGCCAATTTTCAGTTTTCAGCGCTGTCGCACTTTGAATGACAATTGCGCGGTCATGCAACACTGTGCCCAAAATACATTTTTATTAGTTTTTTTAAACAGATAGTGCTGTTTTTTTTATTTTTTGCTAAATAAATGAAAAAAGATCAAAATTTTGGGAAACAAAACCAAAATATCTTTTTCTTAAAATAGGCCAGGCAGGAACCAATTAATCAGAACAAACAAATGCATATGTGTATATTAAAGTGGAACTAAAGTTTTACTGCTACATACTGTAAGGAGGCAGTTTTTTTTTTTTTTCAATAAATTACACTTAACTGCCTTCTCACAGTGATCCCCAGAATGTAAACCATGCTGCGTATGCACAGCTCACCTTACAGTGGCTGGTCGATCGCGGTGTGCTGGAATGACGAGCTTCTATGCATGTGTAGGAGTGACCCCTCGCCATGCTGGAAAATGAAGATGGCCGAAAACTGGCACAAAAAGAGACAATGCCAGCACTGGACCATGGGAAAATGGTGAGTAGTGATCCCTTTAGCTCTGCTTTAGGCCTGGTTCATGGTTCAGACCAATTCATTTTTAGTGCTTTTTGTGTAGAAACGCACTACGATCCATTTAACCTGGTTTCCTATGGGACATGTTCACACTTATGCTTTTTTTGAGCTGCTGTGTTTTTGGAAAGGGTCAGGGACTTTTTTAAATGCAAAAAAGCAGCATTTTTCTACAATAGAGTTTAATGAGGAAGCTGCTGAAATGCATGTAGTGTGTTTTTGCTGCTTTTTTTGTTCCCAGCAACAAAAAAATGTCCACTTCAAAAAAAAAAAAAAAAAAAGAAAAAAAAAAAAACCTCAGTAAAAACACACATGCAAAATACATTGGTGTGAACTAGGCCTTAATTTGCCCATAATGTATATTTATTTTATAACTGTAGACAGCGAAGACAAAAAGTCATGTGAGAAATAAGGGGGCTGCCATTGCTGACCATTTTCTGAAAATGCCAATCGCTTGGCTGTTATGCTGATGTACGTTTGTCTATACTTCCAAAGTCAGGCACTGGACAGAGGAATGCATACAGAACAGAAAACTTAGATGTTCTTATCTGTAATTGCCCTGGGCCAGTGATTCTAATGTAGTTCAGTGCTGGCTACCCTAACTGTGCCAGGGACTGAGAAAGAGAGGAGAACCTAACAAAAAGCTGGGGATTGTGGGACATGTAGTCCAGAAGGCTGAGATTTGCAAGGAGCCAATACTGTTGTGAACTACAAGTTCCAGTTGGCTGCAGGAAGAGAAATAGAATGCTGGGAGAAGATACATATTTCAGACCCTGGAGGAAGCTCTTCTTCTTGGGACTATGGGCTGAAGCTGCAAGGAGGGACCTGGATGCTGTGGAGAGTTAAAGTGTTACTAAACCCACTACAGTAAAATCAGTCTGTATATGCAGTAAAGCATGCTTGTTATACTCACTGTGGAACCTAAGGGGTTAATCCTCTGCATTGTGTAAAACCGCTGTTTTATCCTGACTTATCTGATCCTCCCCTTCTTCCAGTGCCCCCCTATTACCTCCTGATAAGATATATGGTGTGGAGACACTCTGCACATGCTCAGTTTGGTGTGTATTGCTAGAGATTTTTTTTTCTTGGGAGAGTGCATGTGATCAGCCCAGGGCCAATCAGCACTGTCCAGACAGAGGTCAGGGGTCCTGCATCCTCCTAGAGCAGAAAGAAAAATCCTCCTACAAGCTTTACCCAGTGTTCTGCTGGATACTGATACAAGTCACAAGACTGCTCTAACTGCTGATGAGAAAAGGTATTCAACAGTTTATATTTACTAAAATAATTGCACTTCCATGTTGTGTGTACTGTGGGAGACCTGATATAGTGAATGCAGGGTCCTGGGTTTAGTAACACTTTAAAGAAGCCATGCGGTCCAGACGGTGTGGAGAGTCTTTGGTGGGTAAGCTACAGACTTGAAAGTAGATCATCTGTCCCCAGCTTCCTGTTGGCACAGTGACTGGCCAGAGGTGTGTGCTGTGTCACCATCATAGTCACAGTGGAATCCCACTGTTACAAGGGGCACAGCCAGACGCCCCCTACATTTTCCAGATTCTAGAGGAGCCCTTTCAGGAGATCCTGATTCCCTTGAGCTGCGGTGTCATCAGGATTGGTGAGCAGGCAGACTCCCACATTATGTACACTCTTCACTGAGGGACACTGCATGCAGACACCTTCTACCCCACGTCTTCTCATAAATTAGCAATCTCTATCAGGAACCATTCATATATATATATATATATATATATATATATATATAATATAAAATATATATATATATATATATATATATATATATACACACACACATACATAGATATACATATATGTAGAATTCATCATTGCTGGTTGCCATTGCACAGCAATCTCTTTGGGTCCTTACTGAGCTAGCTGAAGACCCAGGTCATTATTTCCACCAAGACTCTCTGTTAACACTCCTCATGCCGAGGACGAGGACTGGCTGCCTATGTCAGTGCGTATGTTAAAGGGGGACTTTGTTAGAATTTGTTTCTAGCATTCAAACACTTACAAAGTGTGTTGTTATTTCTGGACCTGTGGCATCAGGATTTTAAAGTGTTACTGAACCCACAACAGTAAAATCAGTCTGTATATGCAGTAAAGCATGCTTGTTATACTTACTGTGGAACCTAAGGTGTTAATCCTCTGCATTGTGTAAAAAGGCTGTTTGACCCCGACTTCTCTGATCCTTCCCTTCTTATCTCCTGATAAGACATATCGTGTGGAGTTACTCTGCTCATGCTCAGTTTGGTGTGTATTACTAGAGAGGTCTTTTTTTTTTCTTGGGAGAGTGCATGTGATCAGCATAGGGCCAATCAGCAATGTCCAGACAGAGGTCGAGGGTTCTGAATCCTCCTAGAGCAGAAAGAAAACTCCTCCTACAAGCTTTAACCAGTGCTCTGTTGGACACTGATAGAAGTCACAAGACTGCTTTAACTGCTGATGAGAAAAGGTATTTAGCAGTTTTTACTAAAATAATTGCATTTCCATGTTGTGTGTACTGTAGATCAGATATAGTGAATGCAGGGTCCTGGGTTTAGTAACACACTTTAAGCCCTGACTCACATATATGTGGCCGTGTTTTGCGCGGACACAAGAGCCCATTCATTTGAATGGACTCCCGTGCCAGGGACAAGCAGGGAAGATGTCTCCGCACTTCTTTGTAATACGCAGTCCGCACAGGAACCTCGGTTCCCAGTATGGGTGGCGTTCTATTAGAAGTAATGGCACATGCCCGCGGGTCCGCATTCCTTTGTGCCGGTGGTGCGGCTGCACAGATTTTTGTGCGGATCCACAGCTGCACCACCCGCACAGATGTGAACCTAGCCTAAGGGAGCAGGATGACACTGAGAAGTCTTTCTTTTCCCTTTCATACCTGGGGTCATAAGGCTCCCCACTACGCATATTTGAAACACTGTTGGAATCATTGTGTTCACCTCTGACAAGTCCACCTTGGAGCCCAACAAGGTGCTGGTTACATGAGAAGTATTTGCATGAACATTTACTGAACAATTCTTAGTAAATGCTCTACTGCACTCAGTTGTCTGTGCAATTGTTTCCAGTGTGCATTATGTCTGAACCCAGGGTGTCAGAGGTGTCAGGCGGCTTGCAAGGTCAGGGCAACCTCTGGGAAGTGGTGTCTTACAGCAGCCCTCACGAGGGTAGCGTGACACTAATTACTGAGGAGCGTCACCATGACAGCCAGGCACATGGCATTTCAGGAGGAGAGGTCAGCAATGGCTGCCTCCAGGTTTGGCTCATAACAAGCTGCTTTTAGCAACCTCCACGTCCAATCCACCACACAACCCCCCTCCCCCTCCAACAGCCATAAAATAACGAGGAGGGACCTGAGGGGTGGGATCCATAGTAAACAGTAAGGAGCCTTTGTTGTTATGGGTGGATCAGCTGCACCACCACACACTGGCAGCTGACACAACTTCAGCACCACAAAGACCCGTCCACAGAAGAGCCATAACTGTGATAAGTGGGAGAAGTCCGCACCTGTGTCGCCGATGATGATATATTTGAACAGATAAGCATACGACATGACTGCTGCACACCAAGCACACGGACGATCACAGGGTGTAGTCTCTCTGCCCACTGGACCAGCTCTCGATGGTCTGACAGGAGACGATCTGCTCTCCACACTTCCTCTCGGATGCTCCAGAAAGTCTTCAGCTATTGGTTACTAGAGACTACGTCTCAGCCAGCAGTCATTATACCACGTGACCCCCGTGTAACTACACTAGACAGGCGCTTGGAATACGTCAAGGTGACTTCCGGTGCTTTACCGGAAGCTGGTCTTCCGCCATCTTGGTGGAGGCGGAGAAGTGTGGTTATAAAAAGAAGGGAGATAGCCGGTGTTGAAGATGGAGGTAAGGGGGTTGTTTGCGATTTTGGGGCGTGGTGACACGGTTGTTTTGTGAGCGTTAAAAAAAATGACAGTTGACCAGAAGGAAGCGTTGGGGAACTTCGGGTTACCTTTGTAGCGGCAGGCAGCCGTGTTCTGAGTCTAGCTGAGAGAGAGTTTTGTACTGGGCCTGTTAGCTGGACTCTGTTTACATGGAAATGAAGGAAGGAGTTTTCTCACAGGTCAGTGTGGTGTCATGTAGAGGAATGTCTGATGATGGCGCCATCACTGCTGACATAGTGGTTGTGTGCTGGGATCAGGTGACCTCAGGGAGATCTGTGTGATCTGATGCTTGCTGCAGGCCAGTCTGGTGTCACCTAGGAGCAGATCTATGCTTGTTCCCAGCCATTGACAATGGAATGGAGACAATCTGGAAGAATGCTTACTATGTCCTCTAAAACTGCTTGGTGTTACTAAACCCACAACAGTAAAATCAGTCTGTGTATGCAGTAAAGCATGCTTGGTATACTCACTGTGGGACCTAAGGGGTTAATCCTCTGCATTGTGTTTAGCAACTTGCCTACTGAACACTTTTACCCCCTTTGTGTCCAGGCCAGCTTTCAGTTCTCTTGCACTTTGAATGACAGTTGCTCATTGGTCATGCAACTCTGTACCCATGTGACATGTTTAAAAGCTTTCTTTTGGTGGTATTTAATCACCACTGAGTGTTTTTATTTTCACTATAATTAAGAGCAAACATTTTTTAATAGATTTTCTGTGTAAAGGTTAATAGAAACAGGCAATTTTTCTTCACTGATGTGTGTTGATGCATTTGCACTGATGAGGTGTCACTGGTGAGGAGGCACTGATGTGTGGCAATGATGTTGATTGATAGGCAGCACTAATAGGTGGTACTTTTGGGGCTGCACTGATCATTAGGACTCATTATCTATGCAGATGTCTGCTTTCAAGATTGCCAGTTACTGGCAGTACTTTCCTCCTGCAGTGACAGCGTGAGGAAAATACTGCTAACTGGCAATGTATTTACATAGTGGTCAGCTGTGATAGGACACAGCTGATCATGTGAGAAAATTGGCCTTTCAATGTCATGTGATCAGGTGTGTACAAGGAGAGCGCCTGGTGCATGCCACAGGGGGAGGTGGATGCGTTCTGGGAGGACGTCATGACATCCTCCCAAAACTGTAAGCCCGCTCCTATCCCCGGAAACTACTAAGCAACTCATCCACTCCATCATATCACAACTCAATTACTGCAACTCCCTCCTCACTGGCCTGCCTCATCACAGGCTATCCCCGCTTCAATCGATCCTGAATACGGCGGCCAGACTCATTCACCTTTCCAACCGCTCCGTATCCTCCACCCCCCTCTGCCAATCCCTCCACTGACTTCCGATTGCCCAACGCAAAAATTCAAAAATGCTAACACTGACATACAAAGCTGTCCATAACTCTGCCCCAAACTATATCACCGACCTGATATCCATATACCACCCAGAATGCACTCTCCGCTCCTCACAAGACCTTTCTCTCTAGTTCCCTGGTCTCCTTCTCCCATGCCTGCCCCCAGGACTTCTCCAGGGCATCACCCATCCTCTTGAACTCCCTACCCCAATCCATCAGACTATCACCTACTCTCTTCTCCTTTAGGCACACCCTGAAAACCCATCTCTTCCAGGGAAGCCTACCCCGCCCTCTGTTAATTGCTGATCTCCTCCACTCTTCCTACCACTCCATCCCCCACAGCTATTCCTCCCGTACCACTATCCCCTCCCTCCTAGATTGTAAGCTCCAAGGAGCAGGGCCCCTGAACCCCTCGTGTATTTCATTGTACTGTTACGGTCTCATGTATTGTCTCCCATTGTAATGTACAGCGCTAAGCAAACTGTTGGTGCTATATAAATACTGTATAATAATGTTAATACTACCATACTGCAGCCGTCAGTCAGCAATAGTGCGGTAGTAAAGTGGTTAAAAAAGGCTGTTTGATCCTTTCTTCTCTGATCCTCCCCTTTGACTGTCCCCAATCCATCTGCTGATAGTACAAAGCTCTAGGAGACCCTCTGTACATGCTCAGTTTGATGTGTACTTCTAGAGGTTTTTTTTTTTTTTTTGTGGGTGCATGTGATTAGCACAGGGTTAATCAGCACTGTCCAGACAGAGGGTGAGAATGAAAACTAGTACAAGATTAATCAGTGCTCAGCCAGACACTGATACACGTCACAAGACTCATCTAAATCCTGATGAGAAATGGTATTTAGCAGTTTATATTTACTAAAATAATTGCATTTCCATGTTGTGTGTACTGTGGGAGACCAGATATAGTGAATGCAGGGTCCTGGGTTTAGTAACACTTTAAAATGGCAATAAACCTCAAACCAAAAATGTAATATATTGCAGCTTTCCAATCCTTCGATGTGGTGGCTGCATTAGTTTTCTTTGGCTTTTTCCAACCTCTGTTTTCAGCTGGTGATCTGGCCAGTAACACATCTCCTGTATTAGAGTGACTCCGGTCTGGATGGAATACAGGGGGCACAGTAGACAAACAATGCCAGTCTGGGAGGAGGGTAGTGTTAAATATACCAGCAGCTTTGAATACTAGTACAATTTGAAGCCAAACTCTAGCAAACCTTTTAAAATCAGTTACAGCAGATTTTTTTTTTTTTTTTTCCCTTTTGGGATAAGGTTTTTACATGAATAAATAAAAGCTGATCATTGTAATGACTTCTGGCAGTGGTAAATTGATGGTCTCATCCATGTAAACTGATACTATCTACTGGAGAGCTTGTGCAGTGAAAAACCAGAGTTGCTGGCTGGATTACCAAGCGGTGTGGAAATTTAAAAAAAAACTACTTGTCCAGGGACTAAATCATGGTCCTAAGTCTACTTGTCCTGATTATAAAAAAAAAAAAAAAAAATTAACTACAACCTTTGTTAAATCGGAGGTGATTTTAGGAATGTCTGGGGCTTTTAAAAGCAAGAGGCTTTATGGCAACTTAAATGTGTAATATTTTTAACATTGCACTGTTTATCTCCACCTCCTCTCCCTGCGTGTCTCCTGCACTGCACCCGGGGACTAGCAGGGAGGAGAGAGACCTTGCAGTGTAATGAGCACCGATTGGCTGCTCGTCAGGAAAGGGTGGGTCAGGGCTTATACTTCATCCCTTTCACTGCCAGAAATGTTTTTTTTCGCACGTTTTAAAAAAATTATTTTAGGCCTGAAGATGACCTAACCCCCCCAAAAAAAATGATACAATAAATTGCCTTTTATTTATTTGTAAAATATAAAAGATGAGGTTGCAGCGAGTAAATGGATATCCAACTTGTCAAACCTTAAATTTGTGCGTGCTCGTGAAATGGTGACGAACTTCAGTACCCTATATTTTCTATAGGTCGACACTTTTGAAGCTCCTTATAGATCACCAGTTTAGCATTAGAGGAGGTCTGGTACTAGAATTATTGCTCTCATTCTGGCGTGCACAGCGATATGTAACGTGTATCGAAATCGACTGTTTCATGTGTAGGCTCCCCAGCGCGTGCTTTTATATTTGTGTGTGTTTATGTGGGGGCCTCAATATTTTTTTGGTGGGAAGATGGTATGTGCTTGGATGTAACTTTCATTGTTTACAATTAAACTTTTGGTGACAGGTTTTCTTTGAGACATCCAAGGTCTAAAAGACCCTGGATGTCTCCCCTCTGCTCCACTGGGCATTGCTCTACAATCTCACAATGGGGACCTGGAAGTGACATCATAACGTTACTTCCGGGTCAGCACAAAAAGGGAGGGAGAAGAGCGGACAAGTCCACTCCCCTCCACATCTAGCCGACGGAGAGCCGAGCCTGCAGATGGGCAAGCAGAGCCTGGGAGACCTCATGCTGGGGGTGCGGAGAGGTTGGCACTGTGACACAATCAGCGGCAGTGCTGCCGCTGATTGCTTCACCTGACAGGTGAGCCCTGCTGCTTGCCTGCAGCAGGGCTAAAGGTAGAAAGAAACTACCTGCTCGGTGCCTGGAACTACATGTCCTGGGCATCGGGTGATAGGAATCCAAAATCCCTGTTACCATATCGAAATAGAGAGGGGAAAAAAAAAATCTAATGCAGCCATCACATCTAAGAATTGATAAACTGCAATATAATAGTTTACTTTTGGGCTTTAAGGCGGGACTATGCCACATCTGAGCACCACAAACCGAAAAAAAAACTATATAATTCATTTTTAATATTGAAAGCAGACTCGTCCATCCATCTGCAGCATCTTTAACTTTTAATCCTTGCTTGTGGTCCAGTGTAGCCTGGTGCTTCAGGTTGCCTGTTTTAGGGTGGCTCGTTACTCTTGCAGCATCCTATGGAGCCACCCTGGCATGCAGGGACTAGACCTGTCTTGCTACACATTAAACTGAGGGTTTAATGCTACTTTATTACAAAGCAGCACAAGACACAATAACTCTGCCACATCTTTTACTGTACCTTCAACCCTTTGTCAGAGCACAGTTGGTAACACCTTCATGTTTGAAAGTAAAACAGACCATAATGCTTGAATACTGTTTTTGCAGGTGTTAGTAAAACTGTACATATCGCAACTTCTTGGTGTATCCAGGTGAATTGTATACATTTTTTTTAAAAAGTACATTTTATCTGTAAATTTCTTGTCATTACCATAACCCACCACAAAAGTCCTGCAATAAATTCTCCTACTGGCATTCATGACAATATGACGTATTTAATGTGTTTGTACCTGTAGTAGGGGCAAGAAACAATGGGGCACATCTTGCTTTTTTTTTTTCCTTCCTTCTTAAAACACTTTGGCCTTTGACCTGGTCTGTGATCTTTAACCCTGACATGACCTTGAGGCCATGTTCACATGTGTTATGCGTTTTGCAGGATGCAGTGCATGCTTTTTATCATTTCCTATGGATCATTTTCACATCTATGCAGTTTTTGCTGGATTGGAGAGATAGATCTGGGTGTCATCAGTATAGAGGTGGTATTGGAAGGCATGGCAGGTTATCAGTTGGCCCAGGGAGGAGGTGTAGAGAGAGAACAGAGGTCCAAGGACAGAACCTTGGGGTACCCCAACCGGAAGAGGAGCGGAGGAGGAGGAGGAGTTGTATGTGATGCTGAGAGTGCACTGAGAAAGGTAAGAGAACCAGGAAAGAGCAGAATCACGGAGGCCGATGGATTGGAGTTTACGGAGGAGCCGCGGGTGGTCAACTGTGTCAAAGGCAGCGGAAAGGTCAAGGAGTATGAGTATGGAGTAATGGCCATTGGTTTTAGCAGTTAATAGGTCATTCGTGAGTTTTAGTAGGGCAGTTTCTGTGGAATGTTGTGGGCGGCAGCCAGACTGTAGGGGATCAAGAAGGTTGTTGTCAGTGAGGTAGCAGCATATAAAATGCAATTGCAGCATTTTGCGTGTTTTCTAATGTGTTTTTGACACATTTTTTCTGCCTAGCACCAAGTTGGCCAAAAAAATAAAAATGCAAAACTCATCTGAGTCAAAAACGCATTTGTCAAAACGTACCACAAAAAGCACTGCAGCAATGGATCAAACTTCATAGGTGTGAACCTAGCCTTTCATTAACCTAGCCACTTAAGGACCAGGTCTTTTTCTGACACTTTGTTTACAAGTAAACATCAATTTTTGCTAGAACAGGTGTGGTGCGAACACCGTTAACATATGAGGGCGTAACCTATGTATGTGTTCACTACTGCATGGGAGCATTTAAAGACTACCCCATAGCAGATTTATTGCTACAGGGCAGTCGCACTGTGCAGAATCACGCATTTATATGCAATTTTTGCATTTCAGGAAAGGAGGCTCATGCACACTGCCCTACCCACGCTGTGGTTGGCTACCAAAGATGCCAATCAACGGGTCCCAGGCAGTGATTCATGGCTGGGACTCAGCGGAGAAACTGACAGAGGAGAGATTTGTGTGTAAACACACCTCTCTCCCCTGTCAGCAGGCAGCTGCTGCTTCTATGACCATGCAATTGTCAGTTAAAGTAATGCAGCATCGTATTGCAAAAAATGGCCTGGTCATGAAGGGAGGTAAAACTTCTGGAGGGCAAGTGGTTAAAAAAATTTTTAATTACATTTTTTTATTTTTACACTGTCCCTTTACATTTGTGATGGCAATAAAAGTGATTAAAAAAAGTAAACATCCCTTGTGATCACAATACAGCATGGTCAAAAAGACCTCAAATATCTCCTCTACCTTTAAAAGCAAAAGATAAAACAAAAAACATTTTGATCTTTTTTGCTTTAAAAAGAAGAAAAAAAAAAAAAAAAAGCCTTGTTGATATTTGGCCGGAGTGATGTCATGACATCGCTCTAGTCCTCCTACGCCATCTTTCCTTCACTTATCTCTATACCCTGCCACCCCAAGTGCTGGATAGGTTCCCAGACTCAATGACCAACCAGGTCTGGGAACCACTGTAAGGAGGGGGGTGACCCTATATGCAGCTTCTAAAAGTGATCCAGTGGCAAATCCACCACTCTGATTATTTTTTATCAGACATCGGCACCTAAGGGAATAAATATTACTGGAGTTATGGCATCTAGCTGCAGCCATAATCCCGGTATTTAAAATCAAGGTAATTACATATTTTCTCAGGCAGTTGGCAAGTGGCTAGATTACCCTGATCTGGCCATTTTTACACACAAACCATATAAAAGGTTACATTCAAAGGAGGAGAAAACAGTAAAGGTGTGAATTTTGACAGATCACTGTGATCAAGAGGTGGTTTTCTTGGCTCCTGATCAGTAGTAGTAGTCTTGGAGCTGTCAGTGACAGCTTGGTTTTCATGTCACATGATACATTATATAGTATAATTCTCTCTGTACCTGTCAAATCCTCCATTGACAGCCGCTGTCCTCACCCACTCCAGCACTGTACCTGGGCACCCCTTCATTGAATGCCACTACCCCTGTCCACTCTTTGGCTGTACCTGCACTCTATTAACTGCCACTGTACCTGTGCACTCCTACTAACTGCCACTGTGCCCACCCACTTCTCCACTGACAGCCCTTTCCACTGATAGTCGCTGCCCCTGTGATTGTACATTTCTGTGATAAAAGCTGGATTCATACTGTTGTGGTGGATTAATGCATGCACGGTAACATGGTGCATTAAGGCAGCTCATTTGTTTGAATTCCTTTCACAACACATGGTAGTGCATTACCAAGTGCTGGGGAGCCATTAAGAATGAATGGCACTATAGTGCACCCACGTGTGTTGCAGTGCAACAGTGTGCACCCAGCCTTAAAGCTGAACTAAATTCAGTGATAGTTACCTTTGCTTTAAAAGTTGATACCTGCAGGGTCCCAGGCTTCTTTCAGGTG